GTTGATAATAGCCATCATTTCCTTTTTAGCCTCTGGTTCTATGACTACAACTGAAGTTTGCACCACGACAAGAGCCAATGATATGAAGAGAGCTACAGAGTCAGAAATGAAAAAGATCACAAACTCTGGTTTTGGAGCAATTCTTGCTTCTCCAAGAGAGAATCCTCGATTAATAGCTTTCAGGTCATCAACATATTGGCCAGGGACATTAAAGATGGCAGCAAATGCAACAGTTGCAATGAGAACAGCTACAAATGTTGTGGAGTTGATTGCATTATTGAGCCCTCCTCTATGCATTTTGTTGAGCCGCTTAGCCATGCCTTGCACACGTTTTGTTGTTTGATGCGAATGCTGAAGCTGGTTATGAACATCATGCTTTATATCACTCACAGTTTGTTTTAGTTCTCGATCTGTGGTTCTTGGCTGTGGCTTTATGAGTTTGGCATGCTGGATTCCATGCTTTCGCAAGATGGCTGCAAGTTCTTCATGCCCTGTTTTCTCTGAAGTGTCAAGAGCAGTTTCCTCGGATTTATTAATGACTTGTTTGTTAACTCCACAGTGATTTAATAGCTTAACAACAATCTGCAAGAAGAATAAATTTATGAGCAACTTTATAAGAGGGATTAAAATTTATGAGCAAGTTTGGTTGATCATTTTGTCCCCCTATAGCTCCCTATTTCACAACAAGACACTAGGATTTAAGATTAACTTAATTTGTTATTGAACACTGAAAGTAAGCAGAAGCTGTTCTCTGATAATCAGAGCTGACAACAAAGAAATGCTCAAGAGATGGTTACAGTAGTTACCTCAGTCCGTCCTTTTCGAGTTGCTATGTGCAATGCAGTATTGCCCTTAGCATCAACCATATTTATTAATGGAGTTTTCAAGTTCACCAGCTCATCCACCACTTCACCATTCTGTCCTTTAACGGCCATATGGAGAGCTGTCTGGCCCTTCTTGTCAATCCTTGCTGCGATTCCAGGTTCTTTTCTCAAAAGGGCTTTCACGATCTCCAAGTGTCCATTCCTTGCAGCAGCATGAAGGGCAGTTTTCCCATTGTTCCTACCTATCACAACCACACTGCTACCTTTCTCCAAGAGGAAATTCACTACATCAACATGGCCCTGCGAGGCAGCAGTATGCAACGCAGTCCTATTTGACGAATCAAAAGTCATCAAAAGTTCAGGTGCAACATCCATGAGAACCTTCAATACCGCTGAGAAAAACAAAGCAAAACTTTATAAAGAATTCATCTTCAAGGAAAATTTGTTACTTGAAAACTATTTAGAAATATATGCATGAAAGTATAAACGAAAAAAAAAAAAACCACCAAAGCAGAAAGGTTTTTAAAGAACATCCTACAGAAATTACATATACTGTAAAGTGCTGAATTTGCATGCAATAAATTGAATCAAAATGCAAGGTTTTTAAATAGAAAACAAATTTTCCTAGAAACTTACCCATGTCTCCTTGCTTGGAAGCAATATGAAAAGCATCATAGCCATTCCTTGCTTTTATACCAGCCAAATCAACATCATGAAACTTGATCATTTCCTTCACTAAATCAGCA